TTACAAAAGAGGACGGTCGCCCAAAGACATACTCAATGGGGCCAAACTTTGAATGGGCTACTCTAAACACGCGCTGGGGAGTCGTGTAGACCTGTCAACCCCATTTTACATTGACACAAAGTTTTGCTCTTCTTAAGTATGCATGGAGGCCCTAGGTCTGGAAGATAAAAGAATCCCAGATTTAGCCATAACTGCTTCATCGTTTGGGAACGAGAATGCACGTCCCAACCGTGTTCGCCTCAACTCCCCTTCTGCATGGGCTGCAGATCACAGTGACTCAAATCCCTGGGTTCGAGTTGACCTTGGAAAAGACGCAGGGATAAAAAAAAATCGCTACTCAGGGGAAACGTGGTGCCTATCGCTGGGCAAGGACATACACGCTTTCATCACGTGCCAACGGAGAGACTGACTGGGTGACATATAAGGAGAACGATGATATGAAGGTGAGTTGTTTGTCTGGTATCTGATACATCAGATGAAACCAAGTACTTGGTAAGATACTCCCTCAAAGGTCACATTATTCTATATCCTGAACCTGGAGAAAAGTCATAGAACGGTGTTTGGCAGTTTTCGTTATTCTTTGATTAAATTGGATCGAAGAATGAATTAATCAAACGATCTGAAAATCCATTCCCGTCAAGTTTTATTGAAACATCCCGCCCTCCTTTCCAGGTTGAGTGCTTTTCGGTGGTCCAGTTTTTTTCGCTACAAACATTGGAAAGGGGCAAAGATAGAAATGTTTTAAGTAATTCTGACGAAAAATCGGTAGCTTCTTACATACTATCAACTTTTTGATATTTATTCTTAGGTATTTCAAGGCAATAATGATCAGAAAACAGTTGTTCCCCATGTGTTGTCACAGGACATCAGGGCTCGTTTCGTGAGGTTCTGGCCCGGGACTCAAACCAACAAATACCGAGCAATGAAGGCAGAGCTGTACGGATGTTTCCTTCAGTAACTGCCTCAGCCCCAGTACGGTTGGAGCAGGAAATTTCAAACTTTATCTTGAATAAACTTGAGCATGTTAGATTAGCAGTTTCAAGTGGATCTGGGTAGTGTAACTTGGTTCAAAAGACCTCAGGTTTCTTTTCGCGATTTAAATTATTCACGATGTTTTAATATGATAGATTAATTTTTCTTACTAGTTTATCGGAAAAGTTGAACGTTTTAATACTAGCTTGAGGATGATCGTGAACACAGTCAGGTTTCTTGGAAGTATGCATAGATTATCATTAATAAAGTAACATCGTTTTCATGGATAAAAAAGTTCGGCACCTATGATTATCGCAGAAGACCACAAAACTTGAATAAGTATAATTGAATCAATAACTTTAATAAAGGCGGCAAATTGGCAATAATTTTGACATGCAACATATTAGATTCAATAAATATATACGACGAAAAGGATTGGACATCGTGCTGAAATTATAATTCATGAATGACAATCTTGCAAACGTACGCTACTGCAGCGTCCAGTAGGCAGTCACTGAGGGATCAAAGTGACGCCATTATGGTGATTCCGGGGATACACTCTGCAGAACGCATTTAGAATAATTTTGTAGTATTTGTACTAAAAGCAATTGTGGCAAGATTTCCGTATAGTCCATACTTCAGAATATTACAGCTATTCGACAAAGAAAACTTTAGACGGATGCTTCGTTTTAGAAAGTATGAGGTTAGAGGGTCCCCTATACCCCTTTGTAAACTCAGTCACAACATATTTGACCTTTTCACGCATCACGAATAATAATTATCCAAAAACTTTCTACGCAAATCTTTGCACCAATGATTCTGTAATTCCAAGAAACAAAATTAAGCACTTATCTCTATAAAAGTCCACTTAAATTGATCCGCTCTTTTAAACAATCTGTCCGCCATCTGTAAAAAGAAGCATCTCCTTCCCAATCTCCTAACAAAATAACTAGTGCAGTGGAACCTCCATTTAACGAAGTGCCATAAGAGTGGGGAAATCGGCTGGTTATATCGAGGGTTCGTTATCTCGAGGTTTTGGGGCACACATCTTACTGTAACTTTAGCCGGGCTGAAGCTGAAAAAAGACCTCACATTAGTGATATTCCTTGCTTAGTGGGCCGGGCAAGTTTACTTTTGGCTTGTGTCTTTATACCATAATAAAGGTCGGCACACACGAGGGAACTAGTCCGTGCGACTAGTCCGTGCGACAAGCCTCGGCGACAAGTCTTTGAAGGGTTTACACGAGGGGACCGGTAGCAGGGACTAGTCCCTTAAGGCGTTCACACGAGGGCACTCAATTGCACAAGAACATAGGAAAATTAAGAGGCAGAAGATGTTTCTTAGTCTGGGGCGTCACACGAAAACAATGTAAATTTGGTAACTTTTCATTGTAGCACCATTAAACATCAACGCAAATGAACTACAATTATTCAGTCGGATTATTTATGCTTTTGCGTGTTCCGTTTTTGTTTTGTTTTATTTGTTTAACTGACAGAGTCAAATAGGGTAAAAATTCCATCTAAACGGCTCCAAGACATCTGTATATGTTTACAAAACTAGAAATAGTTTTTTATTCAGAACTTCAGTTGTAAAAATATAGAATTCAGAGAAAATTCATAGAAACTGCAATGTTTACAAATCACACTGACCCGTGATTGGTTTATTTACCGTTTAGTCGCAGGGACTGGTCGCACAAACAGTTCACACGAAGGGACAAACATTTGTTTCATGCGACAAGTCCCTGCGACTGGTCGCACGAATTCAAACCAGTTTGAATTCGTGCGACCAGTCGCAGGGACCAAATTTTGGTCCCTGCGACCACAGAAATGTGTAGTTCACACGAAGGGACTTATAGTCGCATGAAACTGGTCGCTGGGACTAGTCGCAGGGACTAGTCCCCTCGTGTGTGCCGACCTTAAAGCTAGCCAGTGCACCAGGTGTTCTAGTAACGTCACTTGAGTGATATTCTACAAACGCTGAGTGGGCAGTTTACTTTTGGCTTGTGTCTCTATATCACAAAGCTAGCCATGCAGTGCCCCAGGTGTTCTGATGAGTTACATTGTATCAGCTATAGTGGAGTTCCAAAATGAGATAGTGTAAAGGACATTTCAGGTGGAATAAACCTCAGCGATAAAAAGGAACGTACGTCACTACCGAAGTGGAAATCTTAAATTTTGTGAACCTTATTACGTTTTTACCCTGAATTAAAAAAAGTCTCGAATACTAGTTTCAGCTGGCAAAAAACAAAGCTTTTCATCGCCGGGGACTGAGTTCGAAGTACTCAAGCAATACCATATTAAATAGCTGGCAGCGCCGGCGGGCAAGATGGAGCGAATCCTGTGTTTTAATAGGCTACCCGAACGGGCAAGGGCTCGGTATTACCCGCTTAAATCCTGCGCAAGGAAAAAAGTGCGTGGGGCGGACTTACAACCTTAACTTTTGTAAAATGTCGGCAACGAAGTCGCAAACAGCGGTAGAAGACATTCAAAATACAGAAAAATTAAACGACCCTCTTTAGTTTATTGTGCTATATTTAGTTTATCTTTCCCTAGTTGGCTATCTTTCCTGGCTCTCGAAATAAACAAGCCATTCTTGATTCTTATCAAAGCGAAATATGTTTGTAATATAGTAAATCCTTTATTGGCCAAGATTGCTCGGTCAAGATAGCTAGATACTAGCCTTGTTCTTTTTTTTCATTTTTATGGACCTCGACTTCGACTCGGGCATAAAACGCAAAAAAAAAAAAAACAAACAAAAAAAAAAAGGACTCGGCCAATGTCCAGCCATCTCGACCTCACGCTTGGCCAATAAGGCATATATATTGTAGCAAAAAGCCTTATTAACACTGAGTTCACATAGGACACATGCTATTTCTTCCTTAATCCTTGAGAGCCAAGCTTGGTTGGTTCTTCGAAGAGTTCTTACTTGGCTTAAACCAGGTAATATCGAATGGGGAATGTTGACAAGTTGGTGCATATTTCAATTGAGTTAACATGATGCATTTTTATATGTGCACGATCCTTCGCAGTAAAGCACTATTTGAGCAATAGTGAAAATCAGACCTGAAAAAAATTTCAGGCCTGTACGGGATTCGAACCACTGACCTCTGCGATACTAGTGCAGCGCTCTACCAATTGAGCTAACAAGCCAACTGGGAGCAGGCCATCAAATTAATTCGACATAAACCCGTAGATGATAAATCAAACAACAACAAACATATGAAACATATGTGTGAACTGCGGTTATGAGACGTATATGAGAACGATCCTTCGCAGTAAAGCACTATTTGAGCAATAGTGAAAATCAGACCTGAAAAAAATTTCAGGCCTGTACGGGATTCGAACCACTGACCTCTGCGATACTAGTGCAGCGCTCTACCAATTGAGCTAACAAGCCAACTGGGAGCAGGCCATCAAATTAATTCGACATAAACCCGTAGATGATAAATCAAACAACAACAAACATATGAAACATATGTATGAACTGCGGTTATGAAACGTATATGTGCACGATCCTTCGCAGTAAAGCACTATTTGAGCAATAGTGAAAATCAGACCTGAAAAAAATTTCAGGCCTGTACGGGATTCGAACCACTGACCTCTGCGATACTAGTGCAGCGCTCTACCAATTGAGCTAACAAGCCAACTGGGAGCAGGCCATCAAATTAATTCGACATAAACCCGTAGATGATAAATCAAACAACAACAAACATATGAAACATATGTATGAACTGCGGTTATGAAACGTATATGTGCACGATCCTTCGCAGTAAAGCACTATTTGAGCAATAGTGAAAATCAGACCTGAAAAAAATTTCAGGCCTGTACGGGATTCGAACCACTGACCTCTGCGATACTAGTGCAGCGCTCTACCAATTGAGCTAACAAGCCAACTGGGAGCAGGCCATCAAATTAATTCGACATAAACCCGTAGATGATAAATCAAACAACAACAAACATATGAAACATATGTATGAACTGCGGTTATGAAACGTATATGTGCACGATCCTTCGCAGTAAAGNTGCTATTTCTTCCTTAATCCTTGAGAGCCAAGCTTGGTTGGTTCTTCGAAGAGTTCTGTTTTAAAACATCTCAAACTTGCTTGGCTTAAACAAGGTAAATATCGAATGGGGAATGTTGACAAGTTGGTGCATATTTCAATTGATTTAACATGATGCATTTTGTTAGTGTTAAGATACCATTTTAGGGTATTATGGCCACTATGTTCGATGACTTTGCTAAATTGCTAAGCTGAGTTTGATTTTTTTTTTTAAATCCTGCTGGTTGAATTCTTGTTATCATATGTCAACAATTCCCACTTGGTGGTCTGGCCCACTGCAGTTTTTTAGGGTCACTTATCCATCCTTTGATGTGACTCACCCAGTTGGCTTGGGCCACACATGACATTTATAGGCACAGCTTCATCTGTTGATGAACAGAAAATGCCATAAAATCAGTCAAAAACCAATGGATCAATCAGTAATTGCCAGCCAGCTGGTCCCACAGACAGCCAATCAACTGGCAAGTCAGCCAGCCAGTCCCTCAGTCAGTAAATAAGTTTAGCCTAGTCAGCAAGTTATTCAGTCTGTCAGTCGGTCAGCCAGCCAGTCTCCTAATCAGCAAGTCAGATAGCCAGCCTTTCATTTGGCTGGCCATCTGGTCATGCATCAGGCTCGTCAGTCAGTCAGTTATTCTTTCCATCCTGAAGTCATTATTTTGGCTAGTTAGCCTATTAAATGGCTGTAATGCTAGCTGCTGAATCAGAAACATCACACGAGTCAATCTGTCAGTCAGTAAAAAAAAAAAGCCTCAGGTTAAGTCTGTTTATGAGCCAAGTGGCCCAACAGGCCAGAGCTTAACTCCGGTTTTTGTAGCATGAAGCGACAAGGAGTTTTTTGGTACCCATTTAAATGCCTGGGTAAAAAGAGGCACTGTGAGCCAGAAAGTGTCTTCAGCCTAAGAACACAACACAATGTCCCTGGCCAGAACTGGAGCCCAGACAAATTGAACCAGAGTCGAGCACACTAACCATGAGGCCACCGTGTCTTCTCATGTCAGTCAGTAGTTCAGTCAATATGATAGCCAGCCAGTCAATAAAGATGTTTCTTATTTCAGTAGTTCCTTACAAGGAATCTGAGTGCCTAGAAACAAACCTGTAAAGTTTCATCAATACATGGAGGAATTAAGAGACTTAATTACCCATTTTAGCTGGCCTTGTTAACCCCAGTTGTTCCATGATTTCTACAAACTCCTTCTTAGATTTGGTTAAGCGGGGATTATACTTCAATTCCTCTCCGACAGTTGTAGTGGTCACACCTAAAATTGAAGCAACCACCACCAATTGAGAAATTCCTTTGTGATTCCAAAAAAATAAACTAGATTCAATGAATGCATGCCTCAATGTGAAAAAGTTGATAAAATATCAAACTTAATGTTTCCCTGCTTAATGGCGCGCTCTGAACTTCCAACTAAAACTGTATTTGAACAATCTGAGCAGAATTTCAAACATTGAACCCACCATGATAATCATGTGCTGGATACAACATGTAGTCCTCTGGTAGAGAGAGGATCTGATTCCTTACAGACTCATACAGTGTCTCAGGATTCCCTAAAAAAAAGCGATGACTAGTCATTACCATAAGTATTTGCTAAAATACATTTATTACAACACAATATTGTAACTCATGTAACTGTATGTCATAATTCTTCTAAAAACCATCACGAAAACTTTCTTGAAGGTATTTTGACCTCTTCCTCCTTTTGAGTGTCGCTCACACCCTTGGTACACATTTCTACCACGCCCAGCCTTCTGCTGCTGTACGTAAAAATCAAAGGTGGCAGCAATCTTCATGAAGAAAATATGGAGCACTTGCTGGCTAAAATCATATTCTGCCTTGCAGGATAACTACTGTAACACTAATATCAATAAAAGAAGTTCCAATTACAAAATGTAGTGCTCCCAGAATGCACAAGAGCTGAACTTATGACTTTTAAATTAGATCCTTAGATGTTCTATCATTGAAAAACAGGAGACTATATAGCTGTGGGTATGGCATCAACCTGGGTGTATAATCAGAGACTGTGCCCTTCACCAATTCTACAAGATATCTTTCTTTTGAAACTTGAAACAGAGAGACTACTGGACCTTCTGGAGAAAGAAATTTTCTAGAACTGCCATTAGATCCTTTATAATTGAGGCATTCAAGTTCATTACTACATCTACCTTCTTGAAAATCAGTTCTTCCACAAGCTCTTATCAGAAGGGCATCACCAGTAAATGCCATCCTACCAGCATGATCCACATATGTCACACAACCTGCAAACCACCAACTCAATGATCTTAGTACACCTACAGATATGTCTGCTGTTAGCAATAGATACATTGCTTTACAAGAGAGTGAGTGGAGAAGCTAAAGCAGTGCTTTAATAAGCTTTCGGTTCGACTTTGTTGAGCTGCGTCATTGCTGCACTTTGCGATGGCAATTAGCAGTGACAATTATTATTATTATTGTTATTATTATTATTACTATTTTAATAAAACAATGACAAATAACATTTAAAGAACTATTATAATAACAGAGACTTAGTGGGAGGCATGGTAGCCTTATGGTTAGTGCACTAGACTCTGGATTGAGCAATCTGGGTTTGAGCCCTGGCTGAGGACATTGACATTGTGTCGTGTTCTTAGGCAAGACACTTTACTCTCACAGTGCCTCTCTTCACCCAGGTGTTTAAATGGTACCAGCAAATTTCATGCTGGGGGGTAACCCTGTGTTGGACTAGCATCCCATCCAGGGGGGAGTAAAAATTCTCCTAGTCACTTCGCACTATGGAAACTGGAGGTAAGCACAGGCCAGATGAGCCACTTGGCTTATAAAATACAGACTTTATATTTCTACCTATTGACTGAATCGAAATAAGGCGCCCAATTTGAATTGCCATTGTTTTGGACTTACTAGCCTTGTCTTCACATGGAAACACAAAAGGATTATCAATTGTGTGAGAGGCTAGTAAGTCCAGAACAATGGCAATTCAAATTGGACACCATATTTCGATTCAGTCAAGAATAACTGCCTTTGAACATACCATTGGTGTGTCCTGGAGTGGAACGCACCTCAAGTACCTAGTATATTGAAAAAAAGGACAATTATGCACCGAATCAAAATATGGCATCCAATTTGAATTGCCATTATTCTGGAATCACTAGCCTCTCACACATAATAATAATAATGGAAACTTTATTTGTGTTTTTATTATAATAATAATAATAATAATATAGATCAATTTCTATGGTGCATTTCCATGTAAATGCTCTAATGCACTTTANGAAAATAATGAGTAGTTTCCTAAATAATTAAGACACCAAAATGAAGCCTACTAAATTTCCAGCAAGTGAGGAGAAACTTCAGGCAAGGAGAGGGGAAACAAAGGGCAGGAGAAAGAGAGAAAAGTAACAGTCGAAAGTGGGGCATTACTTTTCAACCCAAAAATCTCGAAATTTTGCTGTCTGTGCATGCCCGAGATTTTCAGGCCGCCATTTTTCATTTGGATCGAAAGGCCGTCGAGTACGTGTATGAGCTGTCAAGGGGTTTTTGGTAAGTTTGAGCTTTTAAAACCACAACAGTGACCCGAAATCTGCTTGACTAGCTTCAAAGCACAGTTTTCCACAAAAGCTGCGGCCATTAATGGGTTAATAAACTGTTGTTATTATTATTATAAGGAACATATTTGCAATTACTAACTTGCATAAATAAGTTTAAGGTCCATTTCCTTTGTTATTCTAATGTCTCTCTCTGCCTGCAAATTAAAATGTTAATGTGAGCTTAGAAGGTGGCATGATTTTTAACCTGTAATTCAAGTCTGCCGGTCAAGAAAAAAGACAATGGGGATGATAATGAGGATGATGGCTGCAATAATGATAAAAAATTTACAGGTACATACAGAGTATTGATCCATTGAGTATAACAAGCAAAATCTATTTATAACCATCTTACCACTGACCTGAGTGTCTACAGGGTCAATAAGTACTGCCACCCTTGTCTTGGGGCATCCCAGTAAATAAGTGTAGGTAAATGACTCCAAGTCAAACAACTAAAAGAACAGATTAAATTGCAAATGGTCATCAGTGGGGAAAAACAATTATCTTACTCATTTGACAAAATAAATCCGTTATCTCTGAACAGACGATAAGAAAAACCGACTTTTCCACTAAATTGCTACATGTACCTTACACTAATCCTTGTAAAATTGTTGAGGGATGAAAACCCACAGCAAAAAAGACATGTTTGTATAATTCTCTTCGTGTGTTTGCTGGGTAACAAATTGGGACTGCTAGGAGAAGCTAAAAGCGAATCACTTGTTAGTGTTCTGACACTGAAAAGCCACTTCCCACACACACGCCCCCTATTCACCCTTTACCTCAGTTTTACGTCGTGTTGTCCACACATTTTTGTCGATATTTACAGCAGCATGAGTTCCCTGGAAATTATTAATGCATGGAAAAGAAATCCATACACCTGGATCGTTTTGATATGCGTTTGAAAATGGACATGACAAATCACAACGTAGGGAAACAAATGAAGGAAGTTTAAGAATAAGACCTTGGAACGGGGAAGCTGCAACAGACCAATTTCTCCGAGTCAATTTTGGGATTATTCCAACTTACCTGTCGAAAAATAATGCTTGTTCTATTCCTAGCCATCATGAAACGATCACGTCGAAGCTTAGTACGTCCGTAACAGCGGGAATAATGGGGGATAATTACAATATATTGCAACTTTATGCGTTATGATGAAATTTACATACCAATTGTAGCTTCGTTCCAGTCTCCACTCATTGTGTATTTTTCAGCTTTCAAAGCTCTATGGGATGCGTGTTTCTATGCAAAATGGCGGCAGATTTGTTTTGTATAACACTTTTTACGTTTCTATTCACATTACCAGCGTTGATTGGAAGTCAAAGCAACAGAACTGTGTTTTCCCCATCATCTACTTCAGGTAACTAGTTTTTTACGATATCGATTGTTATTCCTCTACGTTACGTGAATTTCGACACGATCTATGTAGTTTGAACTGCAATATGTTGATATCAGTTGCATCATGGTTTCGTACTATTAAAATATTGTTGGTGAACCATGAGTAATGTCCATGTGTGAACGTGAAAAGACTCATGCAACGTCCTATCACTACTGTGACGTAAGAAATTCCCAATCAATCACTTTTCTACTGCATTCTCTGTATTTTACCTCTCCTGGATCCGGACTGCTAGTCAATCGACATATACTAGCTAAACTTTTCGATTATGTTATTTTGACTTCATTTGAGTATGTCCTCTGATTTTTTTGTCGGAAGCTTTTCTTACAATTCAACCTTCATGCACTGTTTTTGGAAAACCTTTCATCCCACACGACAATTTCTTCTGACGTTCATTGAACGTGACGTTATTGTAGTGCAAAACTTGCCGTTGAGATATTGTTCTTGCCGATCAATATTTCGCCCTTGCAAACAATATTATTTCTTCAGACGTACATATACGAACCGTACGAGGGAGTTTATTGAGGCTTTTAGTATTGTAGTGATTTGTGGTGATTTCTCATTCTTTGACGAAAATCCTGCTATTGAGATATTGTTCTAGCCCAGCAACATTTTGCCTTTGGAAATCTGAACTCCCCTTTTTACCACCAATTAGTGTATCCTTTCTTGCATTTTGGTTGACATTGTAAAGTACCTGTAGAATGTATAACATTAAAAAATAAGTTGAGGAAAATGAATTGTGAGAGAGTTCTTACATTGATCCCAAGGCATTTAGATCAAGACTTCCAAGCAGCTATACTCCAATAGTACTTTTATCTGTTTTGATTTTGAAAGGTTGCACTTGTGATCTAACTGGTAATGGATGTGATTTGAACTGTTGTTGTGATACTGACTGCACTACTACAGATGAAGAGGCATTTACAGAATGCAAAGATAATGATGTGAAGTACGTTTGCTTTGTTTTCCTTGCTGAAAAATGACATATCCAGTGCTTTCAATAAGACCTGGCACCCGCCGGAGCTCCGGCGGCTATTCTGTTGCGAGTCGCCGGGTATATTTCACCGCGCTCAAGTCGCAGTCGCCACGCTAAGTTGCAATCAAGTCGCTCTCCGGCGGGTGTTGTACCGAGGTAGCCACCTATTTCAAATCTTATTGAAAGCACTGCATATCATGCCTTATATTTTATATTTTTTTATTTAAGAAATACTGAACTTGGGATGTTGGGGGAACATGAGGAAACCTTAATATAAATCACTTTCCTTTGGTGTGTGATTCTCAAGCTTTCCTTGTGTTCTCCCAACATCTTAAGTGGTTTTATCGCGTTATAGAACCCGGAAAAATGTGTTCTATTGCTTTTACAACACCGTTGAACTAGTTGTCACTGATAAAATGCAGGCTCTATAAGCTGATAAAGCATCTGCTTGGAAACTGAATTGAGCGATCAGGCAAAGTGTATATGTTATAGATCAAAATAATGCTTGCTGTTGTTGACGTACTGTAATATATTTAATAGTTTTAAGTTGCTTTTTTTTTTAGGTGAAAAACGATATTTATCTATTTACTGTAGTTCTATTGTCCACAAAATATTGATTTGTTTTCGAGTCTTACATCCAGTTTGTGTTCCCTTGCAGCCGTGATAGCAGAGTTTGTGTTTCTGAAGAAGTTATCTTTAAGCAAAACACCAAGTTTTCAACTGAAACTACTGGGACTGGGTTGTTCTGTATCGTCAGAGACAACTGTGAGTAACTGAGATAAATTAAAGTGAACACTTTAAGAAATGCAGTGTGACATACAAACTGCTTAAATTACATATGACTTTAAAGAAACCAATGTAGAATAGAATTTAAGATGAACTGCCATTAAGCAGACAACGAAGGTGGGGCTTCTCTAAGGCTCCATCTTAACATGGACCCACAGTGGTGACCAGCATCCAGTTTCTCCCTGATAACATCACCTCTCAATCACTCATTAAGGTCAGGAGAATAAAGGAAATGATCACCAAATAAAAAAGCTCTTGATTATTAAACCAAGTCTCTTTTCAGCATGCGAGGAATTGCATAAAGAGCAATTTGAAAAATATACTGATTTTAGGGACTGTATGGGTTAAGAAAATTTGTTCTCTAGCTCATGACTACATGATTGTACATAACTTTCACTTTGCTCACTGACTACAATATAACTGTAGTTGGAACACACCTTAAAACTTTTTAAAATTGTACAAGGTGAAAGTTTATAGAATTGTAACAGTATTGTACCTTGTAATGTTGGAACAAAAGTTGCAGTTTATGTTGCCTTTCTTTAAAAATGATTGATTTGCAGATGAATCTCGAAATTTCTATAATGACGTGCAGACAGCTACTACCGGGGAGGAATTCTCCAACTTGAAGAGTCAGTCAGCTGCTCCTGCTGCGTATGATTACAGTGAACAGTCGCAAACAAGTTCTACAGGATCAACCTCCTACAAGGTAATCACGTACAGCAATGTTGTATGGAAATAAGTAAAATGTAATAAACAGTTCCCACTTTTTTCTCAATCGATTTTTTTTCCGGCCTTCAAAATGATCTTAATAAACTTTCCGACACTTTAAAACGTAATTCTTTTCCTCCACATATTATTAACAGAACTTTCAAGTGGTATCTTGACGGGTCCTCCTCTCAAAATAGCTGGAACATTGATGACAATAATACATGTTACTTTAAACTCCCTTTTGTCGGCTCTTATTCTAAAATAGCGAACCTTAAACTCTGACAACTCACTAAGCGCCTTTGCAAATCAGACCTTAATATCAAACTAGTTTTCACTTCTTTTAAAATTAAAAACATGTTCAGTGTTAAAGATCGTACTCCTGATGCTCTAAAATCCATGGTAGTTTACCAATTTTCTTGTGCGGGTTGTAATTCTCGTTATATTGGTGAAACTAGTCACCACTTCTCTACTAGGATAAAGGAGCATACGGAAAGCGATAAAAACTCACATATTTTTAAGCATTTCAACACATCTCCTTCTTGTAAGAACAAATACTCCCTTTCTTGCTTTAGTATTCTGGATTCTGCTAACAACTCAATTAATTTAAAACTCAAAGAACCGTTTTATTTAAATAAGACCAAACCTGAACTTAACAAACAATTACAGCATTATGACACCTTTCTAGCATTTTAGTTCACACCTTTGATGTTTGGTGTCATGTTGCAATTAGTACCCGCTTTTGTATTCATAACTGTAACTATTTTATTCATCTACTTGTATGTTATATAATTATTCACGTTCAGTTACTCATTGATTGAAGATGGTATAAGCATGCCAAAACATGTCTCTCAAAAAAGTTGTCTATTTTCACAATATTTATCATACTATATAATGCTACTACTACGACCCTATTTGCTTCTCTTATACATTTTCACAAGAAATGTCTGTTGAGACACATGATGTTTAATACAGAGTGTAAGACATCATTGTGGTACTGACATCTGCAATGCACCTTAATACTTTCGACAGGTGGGTGACCCAATCATTCTTCAGTTTAGCAATGGTGCTAAAGGATTCCTTGCTCTGCCAAAACCCTTGCTTGGAGAAGAATGTGATGACAGGAGTGCTGCAGGTACGTGTATGGAAGAAAATGAAAAAATGGTGCAATCTTAGTGACCTTTTATTGGAAGAAAAATATCTTTAATTACCTGAGTTTATCCTCAGCTGGCCTCTGTTCTAGGAACCAGTCAGGAATGGTTCTACTCCTGCACAGGAAGAATGAGATGCTAGTATGTTACAGGCATGTTTGCCTTGAATTTCAGCGAAGCAAATCTTTATGATGGCTTTCCAATATTAAGGAAAAGAGGATTCATTTACTTCTTTTGCTGTTACACTGAACTTTGCTCTAGCCCTAGGACACAGAATGATAGCCCTACCCAAGGCTTAAACTATGACCTTAATTCCTTAATTGATCAGGTTTTCAGGATGTTATAACCATCAAACCACTTCATCTTGTGCAAATTTGTTTTCTCTACTTCAATGAATGTTGTGTTATGGCACTGATTTTTGTCTGTCCTATAGGATATCGTCAGGATGCTAGTACAGAATGCACCAGAACCATTGCAGACCTTTCTACAGAATGTGAATCCAATCCAATACTAAGTGCAAGAAGTTATTTTACAGGCTTTGAGGTTGTCAAGGTAAATAGTCTTGTGCGTGAACTGTAACTGATATCCTAATGAAAAATTTAGCCTGCAGGGCTAAAATGCATATGACTTCTGGCTCTCATTTGTCAGTCCCAATCACTTGCACTGAGTTAATCTGGGGGCTTACTTCACACTCATCAACTACAGCAGTTTAGTAATGACTTACAAATTTAAGCTGTGCTTCCCCATAAAGAGAGAACATGCCTCCTAGTAATCAAGTTTCAGGTCTGCACCTGTAATGTAAAGAAAAAGTTTTTCTGCTCGGATTTATAGCCCAAAAGCAAAATACCTGAGCTGTAAATCCAAGTGAAAAAAATGATGGTTCAGTAACTTAAAGTACAGACTGAGAAAACAAAGTCATGGTTGGTAAGATATTTTTTACATCGCTTTGTTTGATTTTAATTCAAACAGACTTTTGTATTCAGTGGGCTGGTTAGTGAAATACAGTTCACTAAGTTGGCCTTAAACATAGCCACGTACTAATCAATAATTGATAAGATTCTAGTCATTTATGAAATAAACTAGCAATCATAACCTGTCATACTGCAATGCCTTATTTTGAACTGCGTTGACTGGCTAATAAAATGTTTGTGCTTACAGAATCCTGCCATAGTCCCTTCAAATAGTACCATCTCCAACTCAACCAGTAACTCAACTAGCTCTGTCAGAAACTCTGTAGCAGTAGAAGTCAAGCAGCCTATTTTATGTAAAACAAGCCTTGGTATACCAATCCAGTGCTCCTTCACTGAACCACCACATCCCACCTTAGATGCACAAAACAAGACATGTAATGATGTTACCTTAGAGGTGAGCAAAATTAACAAAATGATAGTAGAATCTCTATAATTGTAATAAGCACTTGAGCTGGATCACTCATTGTGCATATCAGTTACAAACACTGTCACAACACTGTATTCGAACTCCTACACAAACTCTGTATTTATGTGGTTCTGTAAGTTGCTGTCACTACTCCAAGGGTGACAATTTTTGAGTAAACCAAACTTTCTCCTTACAGACACTTTCTTAGGCAACCACTTTCCTTATCAAGCACTTTGTAAATTACTCTTTTGTTTGTCAGTTAAATAGAGGTTCAAAACTTCTTCTTTGACTGAATACTAGTCCACTTGTTTGGGGGACAACAACCTCTTTTCAGGTCGGTGATTCAACCGATTATTTTATGTGTAAAAACAATTACTGACTCAACTATCCACAGTTTAAAGAAAACTTTTGCATTACTTGGCAGTCATTACAAAAATCAGTATTTACAGGAAAAATATAGCTTGTTTGGTTGGTGAGGTTTTGGGTACTCTAAGGATTATTATTAAGCACAATGGAGAACTGCCTACCAGAGTTTGATTCTCAACACTTTTGCTTTTGTTTTATTTTAATTTTTGAGAATGAAATAACGGTAATATACGTAAATTGTGGATCCAATCCATATTAGGCATATTTATTCTTTTATATAGTTTATTACTATTATTATTACTTGTTCTTTTTAGGTGTCATACACCTTATCTTATTCCAATGACTCTACTGACATTGTATCAGTGATGGCTGAGTTTGTATTGGGAAGCATCACAGCAAAAGATGGGGTGGCCCTGAGGCAGAAAGTTTCAGTCAGGTTTCTAAAGGTAGGGTGAGCATTCATCTTTCAGGGAAGGCAAACTTTACCAGATTTTTTTTTTTTTTTGTATACTTTATTATTTGCTTCAGTTAATAGTTTGAACCTTGGATAACATTTAATACTGTAATCTAATCGTTTAGGTGAGAGTGGTCTTGAGAAAGACCGTTGTTAGTAGTAGTGACTGTCACGTTTTGACAACCTGAGCGAAAGTCGTCATTAACTCGCTGACAACCATTGACCAAAGGTGTCAGCAAGTTCACTGATGGTGTCAGCCCAGTTACTCTGTGATGATAACCTCTGCCTAGGTTGTCAAAACTACAGAATACACGGCAAAATTATTTCTCTCTAGTTTACTCCAATCGAGATTTGAAATTGCGTAAATTTTGTTGGAATTTGATTCTTAGGCGTACATGTCTTTTCTTTTAATATGATTTCAATAAATTAAATTTTGACTGAACATACCGTTATTTCATGTAAATTTCGTAGGCTGGAAGTGACGACAACACCTTCAGAAGATCAGGCAATCCAGGCTACATTCTTGGAGAGCCTCTCGTTGCAGGAAATCTGACCACAAAATTTAATGGTGACAAGTATCCTTTTTTTTCTCTTTCTATGATCTCTCTTTAGCAGGGGGACCAAATACAACACATCTTGTCAATGGACAATTCAAGGGTCACGGAGTTCTCCCAGTTAGGTCGAAACTACGGCCCTCTTGCTAATATGTTGTGGTTTGAATGCTTTATCAATGTACCCCGGTATAATCTCATGTTGTCGAAAGTATACACAACACATAGCTGCAAAAATGCTTGTCTCTGAGACGCTTGACCCAATTTAGGTTCAAACGATTTCAGGTGTCATGGTCGTGTGCGTTCGATGCCCCC